AAGCAGCCATCTAGATGCAAAGTGGGTCTCTCCTTGTCCAGAGCAAAAAAGTATGAAGAAAATCAAAGATTTATGGAAACAATTAGTCCAAGCTACTGGTACACCATGCGATCCTCAGCCTATATGATCATGAAACTAGAACTAGACGGTGTCCAACTACCACTGTCAACCACTCAGAGGGGGATCTGTGTAGGAGATCCGGGATAGAGTGAGAGAACAATGTGGAACAAAACTCAAAATCATTAAAAAAAAAAAAAAAAGACCAGGTTTGCTGGTCTGATAGAGCCAGTGAAACCCCTGCGATTATGGCCCCTAGCTACCCTTCAGGTCTGGAATTAAACTCACTCCTGTCACTTCCAGCCAAATAATAGACATACATAGGGGCAGAACCTTTACATCAGGTAGATACACAACTTGAAGAGACCAATGATGGGAAAAGCGAAAGGCAGTGTATGCACAGGGAGACAGCTTGGGGCCAGAAGTGCATGGGAGAAAGGACACAGGGGAGATTTAACTATGGGGAGGAAGCAGGAAGAGAGCTATTGCACTGTAGAAACTGAAGTCAATGTCATGAGACAAGATGTGTATGAACTGATATATGGAAATGAATTTGTTCTGTAAACTTTCATCCAAAAATCACAATAAAAATTAAATATATAAATACTGCAAAGAATGGGAACTCCAAAACATTAAATTGTGCTCATAAGGAACCTGTAAATAGACAAAGAGGCTGTCATTCATGCAGAACAAGGTGATGCTGCATGGTCAAAAATCAGAAACGTTGTGCGTCAAGGTTGTATCCTTTCATCATACTTATTCAATCTGTATGCTAAGCAAATGTTCTGATTACCTAGTGCTGCTCTGACAAGAATATACCACAAATGGGATGGCCTTAACAAACAGGAATTTACTCTTACTATTTGGAGGCTTTAAGTCCAAGTTCAAAGTGCCAGGCTCCAGGGGCTGGGTGAAAGCCCCTCAACCTTGAGGTCCAGCTCTGCCTCCTGATCCCGGCCCAATGGAGCTAGAGGCATTTCTTCACTCAGACAGCTGTTGGCTGCTGAGGCTGAGAAGCCCCAAGGTTGACAAGTAAAAAGGCACAGTTCCGATGTTACCAAACCACACAGCAGGCCATTAACTCAAGTCCACTGTAACTCCCAAGGTTGGCAGAGCACAGTAGGCTGCTGAGCAAGGACATGGCTATATGCAGGGTCTAAGCATGCCAAAGGCTAGAGACCATTCCCAAGACTTCTCCTTATATACAGGAAGGAGACCACATCCCAAAGGCAGCTACTCAGCTGCCTGTGGTAGATCCCACCATGGAGTTGATTGCCAGTCTCATCATGGGGAATAACTACCACCAGCTGCCCAGCCACTCAACCAGGGCCATATTGACACACAAATATAACCATTACAGCAAATAATCCAGGAAGGTGGACTATATGAAGAAGGATGTGGCATTAGGATTGGAGGAAGACTCATTAACAACCTGAGATATGCAGATGACACAACCTTGATTGCTGAAAGTGAAGAGGATTTGAAGCACTTACTGATGAAGATCAAAGACTACAGTCTTCGGTATGGAGTATACCTCAACATAAAGAAAACAAAGTCCTTACAACTAGACCAATAAATAACATCATAATAAATGGAGAATCGACTGAAGTTGTCAAAGATTTCATTTTACTTGGATCCACAATCAACATCCATGGCAGCAGCAGTCAAGAAATCAAAGTACTGTGTTAGGCAATGTGCTGCAAAAGACCTCTTGAAGGTGTTAAAGAGCAAGATATCACGTTGAAGGCTAAGGTGCACCAAACCCAAGCCATGGTATTTTCAATAGCCTCATATGCATGTGAAAGTTGGACAATGAATAAGGAAGACCAAAGAATCGATGACTTTGGGTTATGGTGTTGGTGAAGAATACTGAAAATACCATGGACTGCAAGAAGAATGAACAAATCTGTCCTGCAAGAAGTGCAGCCAGAATGCTCCTTGGAAGCAAGAATGGCCAGAATTTGTCTCATCTACTTGGTCATGTTGCCAGAAGGGACCATTCCTTGGAGAAGTTTATCATATTTGGTAAAGTGGAGAGTCAGCAAAAAAGAAGACCCTCAATGAGATGGACTGACATAGTGGCTGCAGTGATGGGTATAAGCACGGCAAGGATTGTGAGGATGGCTCAGGATAGGGCAATGTTTCATTCTGTTATACACAGGGTCATCATGCACCAGAGCCAACTCAATGGCACCTAACAACAACAACATATGGAAGTGACAGTGGAACAATGAATAAGGTCTACAGAAGAACTGATGCATTTGAACTGTGGTGCTGAAGAAGAATGCTGAAAATACCATGGATTGGCAGAAGAACGAACAAATCTGTCTTGGAAGAAGTACAGCTGGAATGTTCCTCAGAAGCAAAAATGTTCAGACTCAGTCTCTCGAACTTTGGTCATGTTATCAGAAGGGACCAGTATCCGGAGAAGCATATTATGCTTGGTAAAGCACAGGGGCACAGTGAAAAAGGGGAAGATCCTCAACAAGATGGACTGATACAGTAGCTGCAATGATGGGCTCAAGCCTGGCAACAATTGTGAGGATGGCACAGGACCAGGCAGTGTTTTGTTCTCTTATAACAGGGTCACTCAGAATCATCTCGAAGGCAACTGACAACCACCACCTTCACTACAACAACAAAAACAAAACAAGATATAAAGTAAAAGTCATATTTTTTTTCAAAGCCATTGAAAAGTAATGAATACCAAGAAGTATAACTGAATTAAATTCCAGACTGGGACAAGACCTTAAAGGATGAGAAATAGCTGTGGCTACTTCCATAACTGTGGCCAACTGACTGATCTACATACAGATGGATGAAGGACTGAACCAAACTAAAGGCTGAAAACTTTTGCTGGGAGAAGTGAAATCAGGCAAATATCTTAAAGTGTGGATTTTTATGACAGATTGGAAGCTGGAAGAGCTTCCAAACAAAAATAAATGCATCAACTCAACCTGAAAAGAATCCTACTCCATAAATGTGTTAGGTTGGATTCTCTAGAGAAGCAAAACCAGTGATGCTTATATATGTATATATATAGAGAGAGAAATTTATCTCAAGAAAATGGCTCATATGGCTGTAGAGGCTGGCATGTCCCAAGTCTATGGGTCAGACATTAGTCTGAAGGCTTTTACTGACTCACATAGCTACAGGGGCTGAGAAACCCATAATCAGGCAATACAGCAGGCTACTGGCTGCAGAGGCTGATCAATCTAAAATCAGCAGCTAAGATGACATGTGTTGGCTCACAGGCTGTGAAAGCAATAGTACTAAAATTGGCAGGCAATACTGCAGGCCACTAGCTGGTTCAGGTCCAGTGAACTGGAGCTCAGATGATGATGAGCCAGATGCATAATCCAGAGAAAGCAAAAAGACAGAGAGCTTTGCCAGAACATCCATATATGGAAGTAGGCCACACTCCTGAGCAAACTCCCTTTCAATTGATTGGTTACTCATAGCAGATCTCTTCATGGTGGTGATTACATTATAGCATATCTCATTATGGGGGACGATTATATCATAACTAAGCAAACCACTGAGAATCATTGTCTAGCCAAGTTCACACACAATCTTAACCATCACAGTATGCAATAGTGGAGACAGTATTAGAAATCATAGATCTGTACATTTTGTAAAGTTCCTTGTGTCTACTGAAATTGAATCCAAAGAGGAGCAAAAATTAAGTAAAGCTAAAATCTAAGCCTGCTCAAATCCTGTCAAGTCCAGAGACAAGCATCTCAGTGAAAATTTTGGAATTTCAGCATTGGTCTTAATGGCAAAGAGAGACTTTTATAATAGCATTTGAAATAATAAATAATTAGAAACTTATTAAAACTGAGTCCCAGACTCAGAGACTAGTGTGATATGATATGAATAATCTGTCAAGCAGCTAGTAGTCTGAGAAAAAGAAATAATGAAAAAAGAGAAATATTTAAGGAGATATTGACAAAGACATTTCCAAACTTAATGAAAGATCTCAGCCCAAGAAGATCTCACAGATCCAAGAAGCTCAGTACACTGTGTATATTATCCCCAACAAACACTGTGAATATCTGAGTAAAAAGAAATGCATTTTTTATTTCTGTATTTCCAGTAAGCAGGATGTATTTGATGTATAAGAGGCTTAAGATGTTGCTGCTCTTAGATGCCAGTGAGTAAGTTCTGACTTACAGTGACCTGCTGGACATCAAAATGAAACACTATCCAATCCTATGTCATCCTCACAACTGTTTCAGTCCATCGTTGCATCCAGTGTCAATATATCTTGTGGAGGGTTTTCTTTTTTGTTGTTATTGTTGTTGACCCTCTACTTTACCAAGCAAGGCACAATATATGTTAATTAAACTTAAAGAAGATATGAATGCCCTTAATACATCCAGAAAGGAACTCTGGTGAGGCAGTGTTTAAGGTACTTGACTATTAACCAGAAGGTTGGAGGTTCAAACCCACCAGCTGCTCTATGGCTAGAAGATGAGGCAATCTTCTGTAAAGATTTACAGCCCTGCAAATCCAATGAGGTTCACTATGAGTGAGAATCAAATTGATGGCAGACAGTATTTGTAAGAAGGATGTTTCCACGATATTTTATCTAGTATACTCCTTTAGTGTTTCCTCAAGTAGAAAGGTAAAACTTATAAAGGGTCTAGTATTCTTTCCTAGTGAATTCTCACTAATATAAAGTACTAAAAAGAAAATTTGGAAAGAAAACAGTAAAGAATAAGATAGGTAATATAAACATGTACACAAAAAAAATGTATATATATTCAAAAGCTTCCAATTTTCCCTTTCAACACAACTGCAGTTGTGCCATTCTGTGAAAGGCTAATACTGAGAGTTGCAAAATCAAAGCTGAAGGGAATATCCAAAGTTTTTCAGAATATCTATGTATTATGGAGTCACAATGTCAGCACTGGATGCACTTCTACTGTTTCATACTATACCTTAGATGAAGATCTTCTGAAAATTTCAGGCAAGCGTAGATAAATTCTTTAATTTGGTTGTAAACTTTTGGCACAAATTCAGAGAAAGGAAACTTTTTTGGAAATGGTTGCTGTAAATACAAGAATTAAAGAAACTATGTCATAAAGCAACACATGTTGAAAATGTGTGTAAGTTAATTAAAATGCAAAAGCAACTTTCTTCCACATTGTGAACTATCTGCTTAACAACCTCAAATTTAAGAAAGTGTCTCTGAATGTTTCCAGACACTAAAAAGAATAAGATGAAAAAAAGAAAAAAACCCAAATGTCCTTTAACAAGGAAAGAGATAAACTGTGACATATAGTCAGCAATAAAAAAGGAACAGACTATTGATACATGCAACAACTTGGATGAGTCTAAGGCATGATGCTGAGTGAAAGAAGTCAGTCTCAAAGGGTACATACTGTTGATCCATTTATATGGTATTCTGAAAAGGCGAACGTTGACTGAGACCAGATCAGTGGTTCCCACAGCATGAGGTTTAGGAAGGGGGTGACTACGAAGAGGCAGTGCAAGGAAATTTTTTAGGACAGAACTATTCTGTATCTTTGTGGTAGTAGATATACAACTCAGTGCACTGTCAAAACCAATAGTATAAAAAAGAGTAAATTTTACTGTATGTTTTTGGGAGAAAATGTCTTAAGACATTTAAAAAGTAAATTTAAATTAAAACTAAATATTTCAAAGTATTAACCTAATGGGGAAAACTTCCAACAATCTTTAAAACTCTTCACAGGTGATAAAGACTACTGATTCCCTAATCAGGAACTTTCATTCTAAGCCTCAAAAAGAATCCTTTGAAGGTATTCTAGAGTTTGAGCCCACTGAGTTGGAGGTAATGCCCTTGATGAGATTCATTCAATCCTGGATAGAGTGGGAGGGAAAACGTGCAACAAAATCCAAAAACTCAATAATGACCAGAATTACTAGTCAGATGAATTCTAGTGAGACTCCCAATACTATGGCCCTGGAATACATTCTGTGCCTGGAATAAAACTCACCCCCAGGAGCAGGCTCGCAGCCCAATAGTTAACAAGATGTACACGCAGACCACTCAACACAGGATGACACACTCACATACTCTATGGTAATACATCCCTTAGAGCAATAGACCATGGGACATCAGAGGACCAACATTCAAACTAAGGAAACTGAGGACAAACAGGAGTGCATAAATATGACGGGCACAGGGGGAAGGTTATAGGGTAGAGAGGGGAGGAGACTGGGTAAGGGTTGGATATGGTGAATGGGGAATGAAACTAAATGTATGCATTACGTTGAATGTAAAACAAGCTCTTAAAATTAATTAATTAATTAAATTTTAAAAAGGCATTTAAAGGACGCAAAATGCCCATTTAAAAATATTTTTATATACTGCTTACCTTTTCCACCTCTATATCTTGGAATGGGAATTGTCCTACCACCTTTTTATACATTTCTTCACTTGTTACTGGTATAGGGCTGTAGTTGTCAGAATCAAGTATGTTTCTATAAAGAAAGGGAAGAATGAAGAGGTAATCATTGTAATAATCACAAATAATTTTTAGATGAAGTCTAACAGTTGTTCATATGTTGCAACCAAAAATTAATGTTCCCAGTGCCTATACTATTCCCTCCATAAAAAAGCTATTTGGTTTCACACTAAGTGTTCTGGTTACCTACTGCTGGTCTGAGAAGAATACACCACAAATGGGATGGCTTGAACAAACAGAAATTTATTCTCTTACAATCTGGAGGCTTTAAGTCCAAGTTCAAAGTGCCAGGCTCTAGGGGCTGGGTGAAAGCCCCTTGTCCTTGGGCTTCAGCTCTGCCTCCTTCTCCCGGCACACTGAAGACAGGGGCTTTTCTTCACTCAGACAGCTGTTGGCTGCCGAGACTGACAAGCTCAAGGTTGAGAAGTAAAAAGGCACAGTCCTGATGTTATCAAACCACATGGCAGGCCATTAATTCAAGTCCATTGAAAGTCCCAAGGTCAGCAGAGCATGGCAGGCTGCTGAGCAACGACACGGCTACATGCAGGGTTCAAGTATGCCATAAGCTAGAGACCATTACCCAAGGCTTCTCCTTATATACAGGAAGCAGACTACATCCCTAAGAAGCTACCCAGCTGCTCACAGTAGATTCCACCATGGAGCTGATTACTATTTCATCATGGAGAATACTACATCCAGCTGCCCAGCCACTCAACCAGCCCTAGCCAAACTGACACATAAATTAACTACCACACTAGGCTATCTTTATAAGAAGACAGAAAGAAAAGTAAAATCTAAAACAAATATAAGACAATTATAAACATGATCTCCTAGTATTTGAAATTTATACGTAAGATAGAAAATTTCTGAGCAGTATGACAAGATGTTAAAGTTTTAATGCAAGTCAGCGGTAAATAACAACAACAAAAAATGTGTGTTCTGGAAAATGCGAAGAGGTTTTGTTTTTTAAAAAATTGATTATATTCTTTAATCCTGTACTAATAATTTCCATAATAAATTATGTTCATTTGTATTTCTTTATCTATAGAAGCAAAAACCAAACTCACTGCTGTTGAATAAGATTCAACTCATAGCGACCCCTCCTTGGGTTTCTGAGGTGGTATCACTACAGAAATAGATTCCTCAATTCGAGGAGTCGCTGGTGGGTTTGAACCGTCAGCCTTCCGGTTAAAGGTCAAATGCCTTAGGCACTACACCACCAGAGCTCCTTTTCTTTATCTACTACTCTTTTTTAATTAATTTTTTTTCATCTCTATGTTCTCTATGTTAATATTTGCATCTCCGTGTTCTCCCTCTTTAAGTAGACTGGGAGAGAAGCTATTACCAATTTAGTGAGAGAAATTTACTGCAGGCATCACATCAGAAGCACTAAGACTATCAATATATCATGTCTTTAAGTTTCAAGCTTCCCATAAAATAACCCTCCTCTAAATATACCCACACTACCAGATGAAGTTGGGTTTTAGAAATACAATTGATTATGTTGTTGTTGTTGTTAAGTGCCGGCGAGTCGTTTCCGACTCACAGCGACCCCATGCACAGCAGAACGAAACACTGCCCGATCCCGTGCCAGCCCTACAATCCCTGCTATACTTGAGCCCATCATCGCAGCCACTATATCAATCTCGTTGAAGGCCGCCCCCTCTTTCGTCGACCCTCCACCCTACCAAGTATGACATCCTTCTCCAGGGAATGGTCCCTTCTTACAACATGACCAAAATAGGTGAGACGAAGTCTGGCCATTCTTGCTTCCAAGGAGCATTCTGGCTGCACTTCCTCTAGGACAGATCTGTTAGTTCTTTTAGCAGTCCACAGTATTTTCAGCATTCTTCGCCAGCACCACAACTCAAAAGCATCAACTCTTCTTCGGTCTTCCTTATTCATTGTCCAGCTCTCACATGCATACCAGGCGATTGGATATATCATGGCTTGTGTCAGGTGCACCTTAGTCCTCAATGAGATATCCTTGCTCCTCAGCACTTGAAACAGTTCCTTCGCAGTTGACTTTCCCAATGCTACACGTCGTCTAATGTCCTGACTGCTGCTTCCGTTGGCATCGATTGTAGAACCAAGCAACATGAATTCTTTAACAACCTCAATCTTCTCTCCATTTATTGTGATGCTGCTCATTGGTCCAGTTGTGAGGATTTTTGTTTTCTGTATATTGAGATGTAATCCATGCTGCAGACTGTATTCTTCAGCCTTCATCAGTAGGTGCCTTAAGTCATCCTCACATTCAGCAAGCAAAGTTGTATCATCTGCATATCTCAGGTTGTTAATGATTCTTCCTCCAATCCTGATACCACGTTTTTCTTCATATAGTCCAGCTTCTCGGATTATTTGCTCAGCATATAGATTGAATAAGTGTGGAGAAAGGATACAACCCTGACGCATTCCCTTCTTGATTTTAAACCATGTAGTGTCCCCTTGTTCTGTTCGAACAACAGCCTCCTGGTCAAGGTACAGATTCCTCATGAGTACAATCAAGTGCTCGGGAATTCCCATTCTTCTCAATGTTATCCATAATTTGTCATGATCCACACAATCAAATGCCTTTGCATAGTCAATAAAACACAAGGAAACATCTTTCTGGTATTCCCTGACTTGAGCCAAGATCCATCTGACAACAGCTATGATATCCCTTGTTCCACGTCCTCTTCTGAATCCGGCTTGAACCTCTGGAAGTTCTCTGTCAATATACTGCTGCAAACGTTTCTGAATTATCTTCAGTAAGATCTTACTTGCATGTGATATTAATGATATTGTTCTATAATTTCTACATTCTGTGGGATCACCTTTCTTTGGAATGGGCACAAATATGGATCTCTTCCAGTCAGTTGGCCAGGTAGCTGTCCTCCAAATCTCTTGGCATAACTGAGTGAGTGCCTCCAATGGGGCATCCGTTTGTTGAAATATCTCAATCGGTATGCCATCAAATCCCGGAGCCTTGTTCTTCGCCAGTTCTTTCATTGCAGCTTTGACTTCTTCCTTCATTACCATTGGTTCTAGATCATATGCCACTTCCTGAAATGGATGAAGATCAATCAGTTTTTTTTGGTACAGTGACTCTGTGTATTCCTGCCATCTTCTCTTGATGTTTCCTGCATCATTCAATATTTTGCCCATAGAATCTCTCAATATTGCAACTCAAGGCTTAAATTTTTTATTCAGTTCTTTCAGTTTGAGAAATGCTGAGCGTGTTCTTCCTTTTTGGTTTTCAGACTCCAGGTCTTTGCATATTTCATTATAGTAATTGGCTTTGTCTACTCGAGCTGCTCTTTGAAATCTTCTGTTCAGCTCTTTTACCTTTTCATTTCTTCCATTTGCTTTAGCGATTCTCTGCTCAAGGGCAAGGTTCAGAGTCTCTTCTGTCATCCACTTTGGTCTTCTCTTCTTTTCTGTCTTTTTACTGATCTCTTGCTTTCTTCATGGATAATGTTCTTGATATCTTCCCATAATTCATCTGGCTTTCGGTCATTGGTGTTCAATGCATCAAATCTGTTCTTTAGATGATCTCTAAATTCAGGAGGGATATATTCAAGATCATATTTTGGCTCTCTTGGACTTGTTTTAATTGTCTTTAACTTCAAGTGGAATTTGCATATGAGCAGTTGATGGTCTGTTCCACAATCAGCTCTTGGCCTGGTTTTGGCTGAAGATATTGAGCTTTTCCACCGCCTCTTGCCACAGATGTAGTCAATCTGATTCCTGTGTGTTCCATCTGGTGAAGTCCACGTGTACAGCCTCCGTTTGTGTTGTTGAAAAAAGGTGTTTGCAATGAACAAGTCGTTGGTCTTGACAATTGATTATATTACTATACAAATGAATTGGTATACATGAAGATCAAGGATATTCTTATAAACTGTGAAGAGTAAGATTAAAGGTACAGTGTAAGATTTTAAAACTGTAAGAATCTAAAAATAGAGTATGCTGATCAGGGGAAGTGGTTTTACTATAAGAAGGAAGATCACTTTAGGTAAAGGAATAAAAATTTAAAAGGAGATTCAACTCAAATGAAGGAAGATCACTTTAGGTAAAGGAATACAAATTTAAAAGGAGATTCAACTCAAATGAATTGACATGGAGTGCATGCCAAAGAAACAGTACAAGAACACATTTGTGAGTTGGAGGTATAAGAGAACAACTTTCTTATTACTGTATACATGCTGGAACAACTACTAAAATAATACGCTTCATACACTGGACATGACAAGGCCCCTTCTCCACGTGAAGAAAGGAGGAAGATAAGAAATCATATAAGTGAGTTCTCAAAGAGGGTTCCAAAAAATCCTAGGTTATTTGTCAGGGCTCAAACACCATTACCTTATAAATGAGTCATAGACTAGGCATAATCCTCAAAGAGCAAAACCAAAAAACAGAATGAGAAAACACAAGATGATCTGGGTGGTATGAGCCAAAGTATTTGGGTTTGGAGGCTTTCCAACACTGTAGAAATTAATACACTGAGATTGTCTATGTTGGGAACTTTATTTTGAATGTCACTCAAATTTAATGGAAGTCTGGATCATAGCCTAGAGAAGGTAGAAAATATAAGCCAGATACTCCTTTCGCTTATTACATCTGAGAAAATTTGTGCATAAACAGTGTAATCACACACACACACACACACACACACAACTATAAATAATTTCTCACCTGAAAATACCTGCCCACTTCTTTAGCAGAGTTTCACTATACTGGTCTCTGATTTCTAACAGCATGTCAAAAAGTTGATTTACAGGAAAACCATACACCTGAAACAAAAACTAGCTTTATTTTCTAAGGAGTTACTTTAGCGACATGAGGAAAATTAAGAATTGAAAGATGATTTCGCTTTTTAGCCAACAATTTAAATGAGATCATGATGGTAGAATATCTCATTCTACCTAATATCTAGTCTTTACCTCAAAAATTAAAAGATATCATATAATAAAATGTCTAGATGGAATAAAAAAATGAAAACCAACATGCTCTGGTACACCATCAGCTACATTCTTTGTACATTTCTTCTTATACTCTTACTACATATAGCAAGCATCAGGAATTGGGGAAGAAAATGAAAACGTTACCAATCTCTCCTTATTCTCTATTATATCTAAATATATTCTCTTGGGTAAAATAAGTGATTCATCAAGATGGTGGTACAATGGTTAAACCACTCAGCTGCTAACTGAAAAAGCATTTGTCTAAACCCACAGGCTGCCCCACAGAAGAAAGATGTGGCAATTTGCTCCCATAAACATTTAAAAAAAAAAAAACAACTCACCGCCATCGAGTGGGATCTGACTCATAGCATCCCCTCCTTGAGATTCCAAGGCAGTATCACTATGGAAGTAGATTGCCCAATCTTTCTTCTGAGGAGTGGCTGGCTGGTGGGTTTGAACTGCCAGCTTTCTGGTTAGTAGTCAAATGCCTTAGGCCCTAGGCCACCAGAGCTCCTTCCCCATAAACATTACAGCCTTAGAAACACTATAATGCAGTTCTACTCTGTCCTGTGGAGTCACTATGAGTCAGAGTTGATTTGACAGCAACAGGATTGTTTGGCTTTACATCAAGATGGGAATTAAGAAACTCCAAGGTCATTCAGACACTTAACTGTCATTCAGGCAGTTTGTAATTCAGTAAACTGATGAGAGCTGAGAGAAAAAAGGAGATGGAAACTATTTATGAGGACATAAAGGGTCAGGGTGAAAACTAGGAAATGCTATAAAGAAATAAAATTATCTAGCTATAGGAAAAGAAGAAACATAACTGAAAACTAAAAGAACCTCAGCCAAGCTTAGGTAGCCACTGAAAAATACTTAGAGCCAATGAACTTCCAACTTAGATCAGTATATGTAAACAGATGTCACATACCTGAAGTGTGTCAGCAAAAAGCACAATGAGGTTCTTCAAATCTAACACAAGGTTTGGATCAGAGCAGTAAGACTAAAGGAAATAAAATACAAAGGAAAAAATACATCTTAATGATTAAAAATAAGACTAAATTTTCATGTATTTAATTATTTAACGTTTCACCTTATGAAGACACCCTAGAAAGGGTTCCACCCTGTGGTATAAGGTAAAACCAGATTCAGCCAGGGAAAAGCTTAAGCAGAAAGAGTTCAATAAACCTGATCTACATTTTTAACACTTGGAAATTAAAAAGACACTTCTAAATAACTCTTCAGTTAAAGAAGAAACCAAAATTGATACTGTAGATTATTTTTAAATGAGCAAAAATGAAAATATTTTACATCAAAGCCTATGGCATATGGGTAAAGCCATTTTCAAAATAAATTCTGTATCATTATATGCAAATATTAAAAAACACTAAGGATTGAAAATAAGCAAAGTAAGCATTAACTCATGCAGCTAGGAAAAGAATAGCAAAATCAACCATAAATAAATGAGAGAATTAAATTAATAAAATGGGAATCAGAAACTTAAAAGATTATTTGATCAATTTAAAAGAATGAAATTTAAAAATAAAATCAATAAAACAGACAAATCTGTGGCAGGTCTAATTAAACAATAAAGGGGGGGGCAATTAACAACTCAGGAATAAGGGAAATAAGCACAAAAATAGAGGAAATTAACAATTACAAATAAATTCCATAAACAACCACATATTGACAAATCTGAAGACTTAATGAAATGTAACCTCTATGGGCAGGATATAAGGGTATATATGTCACTATTCAATCAAGTACATTGATTTTGATATTCAAATTCTCTCAAATGTGATTTTGTTATTTGCTTTCTACTTGATCTCTCAATTCAGGACAGTGGTGTGCTGAAATCTCCCACAATGATCTGGTTTATCAGATCTTACGGCTAACAGTTTTTGCTTTATAAATATCGATACCTCCTTGTCCCCTGTAACAAAGTTATTAACTGTCTTCTCGTGTGTTAAAACTAGTACACCTACTTAATGACTATGTCATTATCCAACATTTTGCATTTATGAAAATCTAGTAAAAAAGTACTATCTGTCTATTTTGTGCATTAACGACTTATGTTTGGCAAAGGTGCAAGGTAATGGCAACGCTGACTATGATAGCTGAGGTTATGTGTCAACCTGGCTGGGTCATGATTCTTAGTAGTTTGACAATTATGTAATGATGTAATTTGGCATTTATGCAATAATGTAGTCAGCCTCCATTTTCTGATCTGCTGTGGTCATTTTTCACTTTCACATAATGCCAATTTTCAAGTAATGACCTGGTCTTTAGAACCTAACCATGTTGTTAAGTGAAAGTGGATATATCAATAGAAAATATCCTTCTTTTTTCCCACTGAACACTCTTCAACTGAATTCTATCTGCTTTGTACACTATTGTCATCTCTGCTTTCCTCTCCTTATTTTCAACCTTTTTATGTATTCTTATTTTTGGTTTATTGCCTCATAATCAAACTATAATTTTTTTTTTAATTCTTTGACATTTCTTGGATATATCTAGACCTATTTCTTAAGTTTACTAATTACAATGATTTCTTATTTCTTTATTTCCTTTTCTGTTTTAACTGGATCAGTGCTTCTCAATTATCTTATAAGCTATATCCTTTCTACCCACTTCCCATGTTTTTTTGAAAGCATGTGGAATCTTCATTCATTTTTCTTCTATTTTTAAACATTGTTGTTGCTATTGTCAGGTGCCATCGAGCCAGTTCTAACCCATAGTGACCCTGTGGACAACAGAACAAAATACTGCCTGGTCCTGCACCATCCTCACAACTTTTTAATACTATGTCTCTTCTTTTGTAGGATTTCTTAATAGAATTAAACTTTACAAATAATCAAATAGCAAGCAATTAGATTTACTTTCAAGTTTTACTCATTTATGCACACATTTTATTAAACACAACCCATCTTGTATCTTGGATTTCTTTTTCATTCTTTGGAGTATATCAAAAAGAATATTTTTTATAAAAGATGAGGTAAGAGCAAATTTTGAATTCTCATATGTTTGAAAATGCCTTTCTTTTATTTTCCAATTAGAACAGAAAGTTTTAAATGTGAAAAAAATTGTCTTATAATTTATCCTGCTTGACACTCAATACATCCTTTCAACTTTAAGAATTTGATCTTTCTTCCTCTCAAGAAAATTTCCTTTTTTAAAATTTCTTTAATTATTAAATTCTCCCTTTTTCATTGTCCTTTGTTTCAGAATCATTAGATACATTTAATATCTGTGTCAGTAATCTATGTTTCTTAATTCTTTCATATTTTCCATCTCTTTGTGTCATTGGAATATATATTTGACTTTATCTTCTTGATCACGAAAAAGGATATACAGTATTATTCATTTCATTATTAAGATATTTGAACTGAATTTCTTTTTTCTGATAAACACAAATTTCCAATAAAGCAATTTTTACCTTGGATTCACACCCTTCCTTGGCCTGCTCCCTTTATTGTTCTCCTTCCTATATTCTTTAAAATTGTGAACAAAGCATCGACATAGAAAAATGAATAAAATCTATTTATAAAATTACACTAGACCAACCAGACATCACCAGAATTCCAGAAGCTTCTAAGTGTTCTAATCATAATTCTTCTCATTCCCACTCAGAAAAATCATATCTTGACTTTTTGTGATAATCATTTTCATATATTTCCTCAGTTTTTAACCTCCTGAATACTAATTCTTAATGTTTTCTTCCTCAACATTATGTAAGTAGAAATAAATTGTAAGTATCATTTCTTTCATTCAATATTATTTTTGTGAAAATCATCCATGTTATTGTGTACAGTTATAGTTGCTAAGTTTTTCATTGCTATATAATATTCCATGTTATGAGATTAACATATTTTATTCATTTAAATACTGATGCATATTTGAGCCAAATTAAAAAATGCTAGAATGGATATTGCTTCACGTGTACATGGAGCATTACAGCAACTTTCTATAAGAAAAATAGCTAGAAATAGAATTTCTGGTTCACAAGGATCTTCAATTTGACATGATTAATGCCAAACTGTTTCTGAAAGGGTTTTACCAATTTGTGCTCATATTCTTAGTTCTGAGAGTTCCTATTGTTTCATATCTTTATCAATATTGGTATTATTAATTCTTGCCAACCATATGCATATTGTTATCTCATTTGGTTTTAGTTTGCATTTCAATGATATACAAAGGAGGTTGAGCATGATTTCAGATGTTTCTGAGCCAGGTAGATTTCTTCTTTTATAAAGTATCTAAGTCTTTTATTCATTTTTCCATTAGGATGTCTGTCTTTATCATAATGATATGCATGTATTCTTTATATTCTATTTATTTGCTGATTATTTGCATTGTAAATATCTTTTCCCAATATGTGGCTTATTATTCCACCACCTTTTGATAAATAATTTTTATAGATTCAATGTAGTTTAATGTATGAAGCTTTTCCTTTATGATTATTTTTTATATCTTAGTTAAGAACTTCCTTCCATATCCCAAGTTATGAATATATTCTCCTATGCCAACTCTAGAAGATTTATGGTTTTGCCTTTTACAATTTGCTATTTATTGACCTGAAACTCATTTTTTGGTGTTACTTTTTCCCACAGGGATATTCAATTGTCCCAATACTATTCATTGAAAAGTATGTCCTTGACCCACTGATCCACAATGCCACAATTTTATATGTAATCAAGAATCCATTTATATATGTGGGTCTGTTTGTGGGCCCTTTTCTGTTCCATTATCTATACAGCACCAATAATGGAGTGTCTTAGATTTATATAATTTTTAAATTAAGTCTTAGTATCTGGTACCTAATTCTCAGTCTTCAGGAGTTCTTAGTTGTTCGTGGCCTTTGTACTGTCTTAGAAATATTATAATCAGGCTGTTAAGTATCTTTCCCCTCAAAGATAAAACTCTTGGGATTTTGAATGGCAATTAATTAAATCTATAGATAGAGATCATTTATCATTACAATAATACTTCCAACCAACAAACATGGTATATCTCTCAATTTTATTTAGGTGTTCTTTAATTCAATTAAATCTCTCAATAACATTTTAGAATTTTCTTGATGGAGGATTTGAGTATTTTCCATTTGATATGCTCCCAACTACTTTACATTTATGCTACTGTATAAATTTTTTGTTTAAATTTTTTAATTTCTCAACTTTCATTCCTAGTTTATAGCAACAAAATTGATTTTGTATAATGATTTTATATGCAGGTAACTTGTTAAATTCATTAATTGTAGTAATTTTTTTGTAAATTTCTTTGGATTTTCATAGTTCAGATACCAAATTGTCTTCAAAAATGATATTTTTGTTTCTCCTTTCAAAGTTGTATGCTTTTCATATCTTTATCTTTCTGCCCTTACAATATTGGATAGGATACAAAACTGAATAAAAGTGGTAATAACTGAATTAAATATTTGCCATAGGTTTTTCAGGCTAACTTTTATTGTATTAGTTCACTACTGTAAAATGTCAAGAAAAGGTTTATATGTGGAAGGAAATTTTCTTTGTTGGTTACCAGGGATGAGATGGGCAGGGAGGAAAAATTGCTAGATAGGTAAGAGACAAGTTGATTTGGCTGGGCCATAGTTTTGAGTGCATGGGCAGCTGGATGTAGTTCTTCCCCATTATGAGACGGTAATTACCTCCATGGTGGGACCTGCTGTGAGCAGCTAAGTTGCCTTTGTGGTGTGGTCTGCTTCCATGATGTAAGAAGCAGCTTTGAGAAAGTTATGGGGAGTTCTGGTGGCACAGTGCCTGTGTCATCTGACTGCTAACCAGAAACCTGGAGGTTCAAACCCACCAGTCAGAAGGAAGACTGAGCTATGTATTTCTGTAGAGATATCACCCTGGAAACCCAAGGAGAGGTCTCTATGAGCCAAAATCAACTCAACGTCAACAGCAGTGAGTTTGATTTATATATATATATTTTATATATATA